TATATATATATTATTTATTTATTTATTTATTTATTGATTTATTTATGTGTATATATATATATATTGACATGGATATTGACTGTGGCTTGAAAATAACCGAATTGGATTTTTGGGGTGGGTTATGCTAGAAGTACGCAGGGACATGCAGGGATTATAATGCAATGCAATTATCGTGGCGGTTCCGACCTCTGTACTAGCCCAAATAAGAATTTCTTATAGTCTTTGTCGGACTCCGGGGATGCAGTGGTACAGGGTGTGGGATGCAGGCCCTGTGTCGGCTGACAGAAACCCTAAACGCATTAAGAAAGGTCCTATAGCGATTGGAGTTTACAAGGCGCTGGTATTCAAGCCTAGCACCCTTGCCTCTGTCAACCCTGAACGCGAAACTTCGTTCTCCCGCACCCTGCTCTTCAGTGACTGAGTTGCGACTTGGTACAAAAAATCTGTTTGTGCAGAGGCTGAAGATTATGTCCTGAAGATTCGAGCGAAGCGTTGTTGTAGGCACCCCCTAGAAACCTGAAAAGCAGAATAGCTTCGTGAGCTGAAGTAACTAAGAATATTTCAAATTGACTACAAGGTAGTCAGTTTGGAATTCACGCTGCCCAGCTTGCTCTGGTTCTAGCTTCGCCATCTGTGCTCTTATTCTTGAACAGCTCGGAATGAAAGAGATGTTCAACTTGAGGACTCTACCCATAGGCCCCATAGTAGTTCCTTTTTTGGAATACCTTATAGGATTCTTAATATGAGCCCCAAACAGGAACTACTATGGGGCCTATGGGTAGACCTTTAGGGAACGCACGTTCCAGCGGATTGTTGGCTTTATCTCGCACTAGAGTCTTGGGCAATTTACAAAGCCTTGCTGTCGTTTCTCAAGCTGGCTTAAACAACATATGTAGTGTTATATTGTCTTATGACAATACTCTAAGCCTAAACCCTAATATCTTATAACAATTTGCTAAACATTTTGGGCAGCGCGTTACCGAGGTGACGAGGTCAGACGAGGGCTGCAGAGGCCAGTGGCAAAGTTACAGATTTTTGCCAAGGTAGCTGGGGTTCAGGGTTTAGGGGTATTTAGGGTTTAGGGTTAAGGGTTAGGTAGCTGGCAGGTTATCGCAGCTTTGAGCGCGTAGTTCGATTGCAGACGTGTACGGGTCTTGGCGGTCCTGGTCGTCCTGTGAACCCTGGTCGTTGGTGGTCTTGGTGGCGGTCCATCTGTGATGGTGGTGGTCTGCAGCCGTAGTCCTCTATCAGTGTTTGGTGATCTACGCTGGCATCGTATAAATGCCTGCCCATGTTCACGGTTTCACGTATGCTTGTGTCTGTGTAGGCATGCTGGTAGGTAGGCAGTGGTCGGATAAACAAAATGTTTGCAGGCCAGCAAGGTTTTACTACATAATGATATCCGAATTGTGGCTTGCACCGCCAGCCCGTCGCCCCTTCCCGCCGCCTTCGCCACCCTAGCTGAACCGTTTATAAACCCTAAACCCCCTAAGTTACCAGGCGGAACACCGGTGGGGTCACCAAGACTGGATACTGGCGCTGAGATGAGGCTGATCCATGCCGATCCCATAGTACCTATTGTCGCTTTTGTCGTTTTTTTTTTAAGCATCCCCAAAAGGGAACTACAATGGAGACAATAGGTAGTATACCGAGGGTAGGGTACAGCTTCTGTTGCAAGAGCATGCTGTACATGTTTCCCATGTGCTACAAGAGCTTCACCAATCCGAAATGGGGGTTTCCGAAAATAGGGGACCCTAATATAGTACCCTAAATAGTAGGACCCTTATTATAAGGACCCCAAAATAAGGGACCCCCTGTTTTCGGAAACTCCCAAATTGCAC